GAGTCCCCAGCAAGAGAGCAGGAGCCCACAGCAGCTTATAAACTTGGAGTAGATACAGAGGAACAGGCTGGAGGAGAAACCTTGCCAGGTGGAAATGTTCTTCTGGAGTGAAGTCAACCATCACTAGGGGAAGCTAGAGGAAGTCATTGGTTAACCAAGTAGACCAATTGCTCAGAAGCTAGAGGAGGTAAGTGGTAGGTAGATAAGTTGCTCAGCTCTGGACCCCCTGGTGAGGTGGCAGCTTGTCATTTCCTTGAGGCTAGATGTGGTCCTTCCTGTGGATGGTGGGGTGTCAGTAAGCTGCCTGCAAGGGTGGGGGTCCAATCATGGCTTCTTGTTGTTCACTTAACACTAACTTTTAGGGACAAACTCCTATATTAAAGCGTCTTCCTAGGGTCCTTTCTTTTTTCTCAGCTAAACATTTATGACATTTTTGAGTTGTCCATCTTTCCTTTTTGAACTATATCCATAAAGTAAGCATGCTTAGGAATGTGCTCACCCCTAAAGTGGTTTCCTGTATGAGTAAGTATAGGCTTTCCAAATAAAATCCTCATGCTTCCTTGTTCAAGGAGGGCAGTGTTTTGGAAGTGATACTCATGCTCTCCTTAACTACTACAGTAGTTATTTCTTGATCTCGCTTGTTTTGGCTTTGCACTCACCAAGATGTGAGCCCTTTGTGTTTGGTTACACTAATGAAGAAGGTATGTCAGTAAACATTTGTCAAAATCCATAGAATAAACAATGCAAACAAGTACAGTAAGGTAAATACAACTAGGTAGAGTATGAACTTTAGTTATTAATAATGTGTCAGTATTGGCTCATTGATTGCAACAAAACACTACACTAATATAAAAACTAAATTATTTTAGAAATAACTTTATAGATAATTTTATAACTCTGTATTTCCTAATCAATTTTTCTATGAATCCAAACTTCTCTAAAAAATAAAATCCACTAATTTAAAACACAAAATCAAAATACAAAGGATCTTGTTAGTCCTAGTTGGATCTTGGAGAGTCAGTCAAATTTTCTCTATGAATGACTGGGCTGTGGTTTCTTGTTTGTTTTTCATTTTGTTTGAATTTAAAATTGGTAGAGGGGAAATCCATAGAGGAACTCATAAATACTATCTTTTTCTGTACTTCTGCCTCTGACTGTCTCTCTTTGTCTCTCAGAAACATGCATCCACATCCACACACTCCAATAACTGAGTGTTGTTGGTGTGTGTTTGCGTAATTGTAGCCAAGCTCATCTCTGGGTCTTTCTTTTTCTCCAGAAGCATAGCTTCTGGTATCTCCTTCCCTGAGCTATTTTCTTCCTCAAGAATCTTATGCCCATCCAACCTGCCCCCATAGCTCTCTTGACTATTAGATCTGGCAGTTCTTGGCCTATTACTTATTAATCCTTGCAGTACACAGTGATCCACCTATCACTTCTGTTGCTGACCATGTGCTCTTGAGCCCTGGGCTCCCTCTAGTTCCCAGACTCAGTTCATCCTTCATAACCTGCTCTGCTTCCTCTCCTGATTCCCCAGGAATGGTGCTTTCTCCCCTGGCAAAGTGGGTGGGCCTGACTTTGACTCACCTCTACAACACTGCTTCTCACTGCACTCCCAGGATGGGAACACCCAGAGTGCCTCAGAGGACAGGATCCTCAGAGTTCCCAGTAGCCTTGGTCTGCAATAGTTTGACCCTGACAGAATTTCCCTGGAGTCTTGTCTATGTCTCTTTTATTTTGAAAAGCAGCACAATGGGATGGGAGTATAATCATTGTTTCTACTCGGACTATCACATTATATTAATATTAACATTTTTACTTACTCAAACATTTTAATGATTCTAAACTTCATATATTGTAAACTTCTTATATTTTGAACTTCTCAGTGAATGTCATACTGTGATTTAGGTTAATTGATCATTATTGTTATTACATGTGTAACTAACAATATAATCAGGATAATGTCCATCACCATAAAGTCACTTATGCTGCTCCCTTATAGACACACCCTACAACCCATTTCTCAAGTTTGGAAGGTACTTAATCCACTTCTCTAAGTTTGTCATGTTGAGAATGTTATTCTTGCATGAAAAATTGCTCTGATATGTGATGCTTCAGAGTTTTTCTCCCGCCTCCCCCCACCCCACACTTTATGTGGCTTTCTCCTGACTGATAGGCTCTCTCTGTGTAGCCCAGTCTGATCTTGAACTCACAATTCTTCTACCTTAGCCTCCAGAGTACAGGGATTTTTCAAAATAATTCTGTATTATTATTATTGTTATTATTATTTCATATGGGCTAACACTGAACCTCTGAAATGCTAACATTTCCTTATTTCAATTACTTTATACACTGAACTGCTTCCTACATGAACCACCTTTGTATAAATTTTTTGTTTGTCATAATAATAGACTTACATCTGCTTTCTATAATATTTTATTTGAATTATTTAGAGACTCATAGGAAACCAATAATAGTACAGCATTTTGTATGCTTTACAATTCATTTTTTCCAGTGTTAGCACCTGTCAATACAGCATGCTATCAAGCCAGAAAATCAACTCTGTACAATACTCTTAACTAGGATCTAATTTGCACTTCACATTTTTACTTGTACTTGTGCATGTGTGTATATAGTTCCAAGCAATTTTACTACATGTATAGATTCATAGAACCACCAAGATACTGTTCCATTGCCATAAAAAAACTCATTCTGCTCCTTTATAGGTACACGGCTTCCTTTTTCTTATCCCTGGAAACCACTTATCCATTCTCCATCTCTGGAATTTTGTAATTTCCAGAATGTGATATAAACTGAATCTTATAGTGGTTTAATTTTTGATATTGCATTTTTCTCAATTAGTATAATTTCCTTCATATCCATCCAGACTTTTATGTGTAGTAATGGTTAGTTACCAAGTAGTATCTGATCCATAACTCCTCTTAGGTATGTTCTTACAGCATTAAGTCTAAAGGAGTTGTGTAAAATCCTGTGGATTTGTATTTCCAGCTGCCTGAAACTCTCTGAGATTAAGTCTAAAGGGCTTCAACTGTGATAGTTGAAGGGGCTGTCACCTCTCCCACACAGGGCCTTTCTGAGACACTGCTTTAAAGAGCACATCTCTGCTTCCTGACTGACAGTCTCCATGCACAGATATATAGCTGCCCACAGGCTGAGTACTGAAAGAAAATCATTAAGTAAACAGTAGTATGCCAGGCACAGGGATTGGGTAAAAGAAATAAAAACAAAACAAAAACTACAAATGTGATGCTCAAATTATGAGACTTAAGAAATGCTATCAGCATGACCAACAGGCCCTGTTGTTTAATTATTGAGGCATAATTGACATAAACTGCATACATTTTAAGTGTTTGATTTGAAGAATTTTGCTTTAGGTCTATATCAATGTATCATTACCACAAAGAATATAGTTAATATATTCTTCACCCCCATCAGAATCCTGTGGATTGTAATCCCTCCTCCCTTACAGTCCTCTCCAAAGCACCACTGGCTAACTCCCTGTCACATTAGGCTAGCTCGCATTGTCTAGAGTTTTATTTAAGTCAAATCACACAGTATGTATTCTTTTTTGGCCTGGCTTCTCTTACTTGGAATAATTATTTTTAGGCCTATCCATGTTGTTGGTGTTGCAATCAATAGCTCATTCCTTTTTACCATCAAGTAGTATCCTTTGCATAGATATACCAGCATTTGTTTATTCATTTATCAGTTGATAGATATCTGGGCTGTTACCAACTTTGTATATTACAAATAAAACTGCTGTCAACATTTATGTACAAGTCTTTGTAGACACATGCATTTCCTTTGGGAAACTAATTAGAATGGAATGGGTGAGTTCCATTTCATTTCCAAAGAAAATGCCAAATTGTTTTCCAAAGCGGGTGTACTCCCTATCAGAAGTGAGAGTTTCAGTGCCTCCATATTTTCACAGATAGTTGGTATAGTAAGTCTTTTTAATATTCACATTCTAATCCTTGTTAATGATAATTCACTATCATTTATAATATGCCTTTCCATAAATTCTAATGATGTTTATAATCTTCTTGTGTGCTTATCTGCCAACTGCATATCTTCATGGCTGACAGCTTTTATCAATAATCAATTTTGGACCCGCCAAAAATTTTCTGATCTTTTGAGATGATCATAAATTTTTATTTTACATTTTGTTAATATGGTGTGCTGAAATGGTTTATATTTGAATATTAAACTAACACTGCATTCCTGGAATAAACTACACTTGGTAATAATATATTGTTGGACAAAAACATGTTAATATTTTTTGAAGAATCTTTGAAACTGTGTTCATGATGGTAGGGGGGGTCTGTAGTTTTCTATACTATTTTTGTAATTTATTTGGTTTTTTTGGTACCATGATAATATTGGACTTATAGAATGAGTTTGGAAGTGATACTTTCTTGTAATTCTTTGAGTCAGATAGAGAAGTTATTCAATAGCTATCCCATAGGAGATTTAAAGCTGAGAAAAATAATTAATGTGAAATAAATAAACAGGAATTGTGTTGGGAACATATAATAAAAAGAAGATATTACCAGTAAACACTAGCTATTAACAAGATGCAAACATGCTTCACATTCATTTTCTTTAATTTTCACTTTGGCTCTTGAGGTGGGAATCACCATCCCTGTCTAACAGATGAGGATCTAAGAGGTGGTGACTTATCCAAAGTCTCCAAATAAAGTTTTCATAAATGAAATCCACAACAACCTTCTTCCCTCTCCACCTCAAGACAGCTATGAACCCTGACTATTTTAGATAAAGTTATTCTCATCTTATCCAGAAGCCATCACTATTGCTGGTGTGGACTCTGGAGTCAGAAGAAAAAAATTAATATCGTAACCAAGAGTAAGAGGTATGATTACCACTGAACAACACTCCTGGAGAAAGGTATTATTTCTTGTGGAAAGATGTACTCAGTTGTCTGTGTCTAGGAGTATAGGAACTCTTTGAGAAAAAAGCTTCTCCTATATCAGGGGCACTGGACTGATTGATATGGGAGTTACAGTTTTCATCTTACACTGGAAATAGGGCAGCAATAAGCCTTCAAACGGGTATGTCAGGGTATAAATTAGGGATCGACTATTTACATTGAAGAAGGATATGGATTCACCCTCATAGTCCAGGAAGACACCCACTCTTGTAGGGGGTGTCTTTACAAGGGGAATGATTGTACAATCATCGTTTATGAAATACACAGATGACTCTAGTCCAAGAACCCAGTACCCATTTTCGAGAGACAAAGATACATTCTCCTCTGTTCTATCTACATCATCCTGGCAAACTCCCAAAACCCACGATTTATTAAATCCCACATCTACTTCCCAGTACTGTTTCCCATTCTGGAACCCCGGAAAAGCCACCACACTCTTGCTTGTGAATCTCTTCTCAGAGAATTTCACTAACTGGGGAGCATTCCAATAAGATATAGAATTCAGAGGAGAAATGTAGAGCTGAGGGTGAGCCGAGTCTCGGTCCAGCATCACCTTCACTGCAGCATAGTAGGGAAGAGAGAAAACATGAGTTACTGCACTTTGGCTGGGGCAGTAAGTCAACCCCTACCAATGGGGATTGTCTCAGAGTAGAATTATATGAGCCCCAAAGCCAGAATTTCCAACACACACCAACTCTCAAACCCTTTCCATCTTTAGTGTAGTCTCAGAACCTCATCAATGCATGGAAATGCCAACTGTGAGGTCATATCTCCTATATATCACCCCAACCCTACATCTTTCTCTATATTTAATCTTTTATTTGATTTGTGAGATCCAAGTGACTCCAGAATCCACCATCCTCTTGTTTACAAAGGTCCTGCCCAAATGTATTTCCTTCACCCCATCTCTTGCCTACTACTATTGTCCTCTTTTACCTGAAACATTGTTGCCTGTGACTCCCCACCCTGTCTACTCAGGCCCTGCTCTGTCCCCTTATAGACTTGGGCTTAGAGTGTGTCTGGGATAAACTGCACTCTGGGGTGGACAAGGACATCACAGATTCCTCATCTGTAGGTCACATAGTTCCCATATAGGTCATTGGTCTGCTCCTTCTTTTATGCCCACTGGATGCTCTGTCCCACTGTCATCCCCTCAGGTGTTGGTACCTGCATGTTTCCGGGCTTTTCTCCATTCTAAAAACAAGCAGACAGAGTAGGCAGTTCAGTGATCATATAGTGAATAAAAGGCAGAAGAGGGGAAAAACTAAGGACAGTTGCCCTTCTTTGGGGTGTCATGGACCCACAAAGGTTCTGATGGTCACACAGCATCTCTACAAAATGCACCTACCCATATGCAGATCCCCATCACTAACTTGCATTTGCAGGGACTCAGGGACTCAGGTTATAAGATTCCAGGGATTTGGGAGGAATAGATAAAATGGGGGTTGGAAGAATAGTGTATTTTCTCACCTGCTCATTTATCTCTCTTTTCCTGATAAGAAACTGAAAAGAAGAAAAGGCTCCAGTCATAGAATTGGGTCTAAGAGAGAGTATTGGAGGAAAATTCTACATGGGCTCTTACCTAGGCTTCCCTGGACATTCCCTGAAACAAAAGACAAAATATTAGTACTCATTCAGATCTGGACAAAGGCTCAAAGCATCAATCCAAGATGAGTAGGATTGAGGGAAATACCCTACAGGGTTTTTACTGTCCTGAATTTGCATACCATCAAAGAGCTCATGAATTACAAAATATATCAATAGGCAAAATTTACAGACAATTTTGGACTTTTCAGACACTGTTGCCCATATGTATGAGGATCAATTTATTAGTTAATGGATGGGGGAGAGTGAGTCAGCCTTTCACATTGTCTGACCAAACTTCCCGTCCAGTCTGGAGCCACAGCAGCATACAGATGGCTCAAACAATGGAACAGGGATCCAGGACAAGTGTGTGTGGAAGGCTCAAATATGATGAAGCACTCACCTAATTCTTTCTGTATCTTCCCTGAAACAGAAACAGAGTATTTAGTGGTTAGGAGCATGAAGGATGTAAACACAATCAAGGACTCTCACTCAGGTGGGATGATTTGTGATCTGAAACCTGGGCTCCCTTAGTAATCTGCTTTTGTGCCCGAACCCCACCCTCAACTCCAATACACAGTACTGGGGTAAAACAAGAGACAAAGAACCTTCACTATGAAAAGAAAAAATTCTATCTAGAATCCTGTGGAGAAGAAAATAGAAGTAAGGGAGGAAGAAGGTGGATGATAGGGAAGCTGGGATTATGGTATGCATTCTATGGATGTGTTACATTTAAGGATGAGAAAATTGCTTCTTAATGGTAAAAATTCTTATTGAGGTTGGATATTATTTGTTTTTTTCTGTAGATAGTATCTCTTTATGTAGACCAGGCTGGCCTGGAACTCACCACATCTTGCCTCAGCCTCCTTAGTGTTGGGTTTGCAGGTTTGCACCATCCTGTGTGTAGCACTGAGTATTTTTTCATCTTCTTTTCTTTCCTCTTTCACAAAGTTTTCAGTTATGCTGATATGTCCTAGTCTTTTGGTTTTGTTCTTAGAATTTCTATTAGCGCAACAGTAATGAAGTAGACTTTTTTCCTAATACTTGTCCCTACATAAACTAGAAAGGGCTTTATAAGGTGTGGCATTTCCTGATGGAGTTATAAAGACTGTGGTGCCTGTGAACAAAGTGATGAGTCCAAGAGTCTTAGGTGTGGAAGAAAAGATTCAGGTCAGTGCCCAGGATCATCTGTGACCCCAGCCCTGCTGCAAACATGAATTAGTCATGGGCCCACACTTTCCTCCCTCACTTACCCTGGAATTTGGGGGAGAATCTTCTCAGCAAAATGATAGCAGCACATAAGACAAAGAAGAAGATCATGAGTAAAATAAAAGCCACGCTCCAGGGTGAGGACTGGAAAAATCTCTCTGTAAAACAGTAACATAGACCTTTTAGTGATTGTTGAACACATATAACTTGATTTTCATTTAAGGAATCCTTTTGCAGCCTCTTCCAAAAAAGAAAATGTATCTACATTTTTCCTTCAATTTTAAACTTTGCAATTCTGTGTGAATCTTAGTCCATTCTCTACATAGAATGAGGTACAGTTGTAACAGGAACTTAGAGTCTGCTTTTGCTGGAAGCACTGACTTCTCACTTGTGCCTGCAGATGCCATGGGAAACTGAAACAAAATAGAAGTTTGGCATCTCTGCACCTGTCTTCTTTGCTGACTTTAAACTTTAGGTCAGATTTCTGTTCACCTCTGCCAATAGGCATGTTAACGATTTAAGGAGTGTTCTTCTAAAACTAATAATCCTCCCTTCAAGGTCGAAGGCATCAAGATTCAAGTAAATAAATATTTTCAAGATTTACAGGGATGTCATATTCAACAGTGCTGATGGCCAGCTTTTACAACGTCCTGTACCAGAGCATCAGTGTATCACTTAGAAGTTTCTAATCGCTGCCCTAAGCAAAGGAGGATCCAAACATTGACCTAACTAACTCCGTCTTGCCTTTGTGACTTTTTTCCTGAGTCTTCTCTAGTCTCCTTGGATTCCAGAAAAAATACTCTGATCAATAAACATCTTGTGACATAAGTTTAAATTATCCATCCTCCCCTCCCCCAGTCAATAGCAACTTTCTTCCATATGATCAATCTGGGGATAACGATCAACTATATCAGAGCCTGACCAAGGGTCACCAGCTATGCATGTACCCAATCCTTGCTTTGTTCCTTCCCTATACCCCAGAGCCCTTCTCAGTACTCCAAAGACAGTGTTTAGGATTCTAAGTGTGGTCATACCAAACAAATTCCTTTCCTGCGTTCACCACTATTTGTCTCCTGTTTGGTCAATTGGGGTGATTGACCAAGCCTGGTTCCTTGAGATCCCCAGAGTCAGGTCTCTGGACTAGGACACCCATAACACAGCTTTGATTTTATCCTTTTCTGAATGAATAACCATTGTTACAGTATCATCTATTAAATGGACTCTCCTTTACACATGAAATGTCACCTTTGTGTGCAACATGTTTATGTTTTGGATTGGATTTGTTTCCTGATTACCTGTTCTGTGCCATTGTTCCATTTATCTATCTCTGTTTTATCTGTGTCAATAATTTTTGCCTAGTTTATTCATCATAGCTCTGGGATATGTGTTTATGTGTACTAGACTAAGATTCATAACTTGCTTTTATGAAACTGCATCTTGGCAATGCTTGGCCACTTGCTTTGTCACATAAACATGCAATTTACTAGTCCAATCCTAAAAAAATACTCTTATGAGATTCTGAATGAATTTTAACTTATAGACCAATTCTGTGAGAAATAATAACTTTAAAATATGCACCTTCTTATCTGATGATGTTATACCTTTTTTCCTATAATAGTTTTTTAGTGCCTCCAATAAAGTTTTATAATTTTCTTCAGTAAGGGTTTGCAAATTTTTATTGGACTTATTCCTAGCTAACACATTTATTGGTATGGTACAAATTTGTTGGTATTTGTTGGTATGGTATGTTTGCTTACCTGTCTTTACTGATGTTTACAAATGAAATTTGTTTTATTTATTAATTTTATATGACATGTCATGATGAACTGAATGAATTTATCTGTATATTCTTTCAAATTTTCTCTGTATGTCATTATACTACCTGTAAACAATGATTATTCTATTTCTTCCTTTCTAAAAGTTATAATTCTTTTGATTTTCTTTTGTATGCCACTATGTTGAAGAGATACATTTACAATGGTCAACTTATTAAATTCCTTATTTAAAATAATGTCATTATTTGTGATGTTTACCATAAGCATTTGTACATACCATTTGATTAGTTAAGAAGATTCTCTCTTCTCTTCTTAGTTTTCTTTTTCTCTCCCTCCCTCCTCCTTCCTTACATCCTTCCTTCTTTTTTTCTCTCTCCTTTCCTCCTTCCTTTATTTCTTTTTTCTGTTTTTTTTTGCAGAGCTTCATGTAATATTCTCAAATGCATTACCACTTTGTAACACCCCAACCTTCTTTCTTTTATTTTTGAATTCCTAAGTTGAATGTTAAAAGTACTCCAAGTTTTATTTATATCTACTGAGAAAATTAAAAATTTTCCCTTTAAATCTTTAAAGTAGCAATTATATGAGTATATATCCCAGTGTTGATCTAACATTTAATTCCAGATTAAACTCAATTCAGTCATTCTGTATTATGTATTGTGGTTTTTATAAGCTTTTGATTTACAAAATTTCTGATAGACTTCTACATTTTTGTTTCTGAGTAGACTTTGTCAATACTTTTCCTTTTTAAAATACTCCTTGTTCTAAGGAAGTGAATTTAATATTTCTTGTTATATTTTCTAGAAGATTTAGTTTATAACTGAAGTTTACTTTTTCCTTGAACATCTGATAGATTTTGTGTGTAAAACAAAATAGCTTTGGTGTCTTTTTGGTGGGAAGACTTTTAAATACTGATTCAACTTCTATTGTAGTTATAGAACTTAGGTGGTAGAGTTTTCCTTGAGTTAGACTTGTGTTTTACATTTTTCCATGAAATTTGTATGTTGTCACATTCAAATAGGATTGTACAGCTATTCTAGTTTATCTTCTAAATTCCTGTGGTAAATTTAGTTCTGCCCCATTGTTATATTTTGTACTCTCTAATGTGCCATTTCTCTTGCTTTTGATCAGTGCTGCCAGAAGTTTATCTATATTAATAGTACCACAAAATCAAGTTTAGCCTTATTACTCTGTACTAGTTATCAATTTTCTTTTGTAATTCCTATTTATGATTTTCATTCTTTGTCCCCTTTCAGTTTATTCTGAAATAAATCTCAAAATATAATATAAATTAAACTTTTCCCCTTCTAATATGAATACTTAAGGATATAATTTTGACTCAGAAAACTATGTTAAATTCATCTCATACATAATGATATATCATGTCATTATCATTCAGTTATAAGAGTTTTATAATTGCCATTATGATTTAAATTTATCCTTTTCTTGTTTTAAGTGTGTATTTATATTTGTAACATAGGATAATTTTAAATTATTTTTATTGTTGTCATCTACTATAACCCATATGGTGAATGAAGAACATTGAATGACATGAATTCCTGGAAAATTTCTAAAATCCATTGTATGTGTGTACCTAGTAAAAGTTTATAGATGTCCCATGTGTGCTTTGGAATAATTTTTGAGGTGTGGGCAGTCTTATGTGCACCAGATAAAACTTGCTAATTTGTAACTGAAATATTCACTGTTCTTGCTAATGTTGTTTACTTATTTAGTCAGTTTTGGATTGTATCATATATACTTTCCTTACATTTCTACCAATATTTTTCTTATACATATTAAGGATATAACACAAGATACTGGTATATTTAAAATGTTAATATTTTCCTAAAGAAAATTTATGAAGTAACCATTATTTATGAATTATGAATTATTTACTTCATTTATTTATGAAGTAACCATTATTAGCAGAGCTTTTTCTTTCTTAAAAATCTTTTCTTTTCTAGATAGTAACATGGATATGCATATATACATACATATATATGATGGTTAATATGTCTTTTGTATTTTGTATTTTCAATAAATACCTCATACATTTCCTTATTTCACTTCCTCCCACAATAACTCACCTCGTACCCACACTCTGGATTCTACCTCTTGGCTCTGGTCAGGGGGCTGAACAGAGCATGATACATTCCCAGAATTATCTTGAACAGTAAGGGAAGTCTCCACATCAAACAGGCCATGCATGTTTTTCTTCACCTTGGAGTCTGAGGATAAATAGGTACCCTGTGGAGTTTTCCACTTAATTGTGGGCTGAGGGAACCATCCTGAAGTATGACAGAGTAGCTGGATGCCTCCATCAACATGTCCCATGATGGAAATGAGAGGAGGGGAGCCCAGTTCTGGGGAGAAAACACAATGAAATTAATGACAGAGGCTATTATAATGAAGCACTCATCCACTAAATTAGAAGATAACTGTAAAGTGTATTTTATTGGAAATGGAAAATATAACTATGGCTACATTAGCGCAAAAGAGAGAATGATCATTTAGTCATGGCTTCCTGGAAGTGACATTTGCACCCTGCTGTTTTAAATAAATAGGAATTATTTTAGTAAGCTAAGTGAACAAGAAGAAGCATGCCATTTGGAGGAGTAGATACAAACTATTCTGGGGGAATATGACTTCAATATAATAATTTATTATTTCCCGTATCCCCATATCAAAGAGAAATTAACTTCCAGGTGCTGTTTCTGCCATTTCCCAGAGTCTAGAGGATGCAATAGTTTGATAAATATTTGTTGAGTGGATAAATGAATAAAAGAATGATGGTGCAAGCTGTAGCAAAGGAAGTCTGGGTTACAGGATACAGATTCATCTCTCCCTGCTCCTTCCTCTAGGTAAGATTGTAAACCCCACAAATAACACAAGGGTAATCTTAAGTGTGTCTAAAACGATGAGAATGATTAAGAACCCAAGTGGACAAAAAACAAAGCAGCTGAACATCTTATGATCCATCCCTGAATTCAGCAACACAAAGTGGCCTCATAAACTCACACCTCACCCAAATGACTGACAATACCAGGTAGACTCAGTGTGCCTATAAAAGGACTGAAGAGTAGCCCTTCTGACCGGAGGTTAGAGAAAAGCCCTCTTTGTCCCAGTGGAGCAGAGATTACCCTCTCTCACCTAGGCATACCAGGGTGTTTGACCTGGGAAATCATCTTCTATAGCTACAGGCCATATTGAAGGGTGTGAATGGGAACAAGAGCATCACCAAATAAACCAAACAGACCAAAGTACCCATAGAAAAAGCTCTGAAAATTAAGCAGCCTTTGGGATGACAACTGACAAAAGTAGATGAGGACCTGAGTGCTAAACCTGAACAGAGTGATTGCCCGAAAAATAGAAGCTTTAAATAGGCTCCACCATCTCTTAACATAATACCATATGTTGTAACATAACAAAATGTCCACTTTCAATTTTTCAAAAATCAGGAAAATATTAGCTTGAATGAGAAGAGATTAATGACTGATGGTTGGAATTATCTGACAGAGACTTTAAAATAACTAGTATAAAAATGCTTCCAAAAATTATGATTTCACTTGGAACAAAAGACAGAATATAAAATCTCACCAGAAACGAAATTGTAAAAAAATAACCAAATGGAAATTATATAACTTAAGAAATAAGACTGAAGTTTTAAACCTAGCCTGCATCATCTACATACTAGAGTGGATATCACAGAGGACAGAAAAAGTAATGTTTGAATATATAATTTACCAAAAAACAGTAAGAAAATCAATTTAAAAAAAGAGAACAGAAAATTGACTCTAAGAGAACTTCAGGGGCAGTCCAAAGGTCTTCTGTATCATCATCATGCTAGAAGAAGAGAGTAGAGGTGAAAGAATATTTGAAACAATGATGGATTTCAAGTTTTCAAATTTGGTAAATGCACAAAACTACACATTTAAGAAGCTAAACAACCACTAAATTGGAGAAATCCAAAGAACTTTACATCTAGATACAGTTTTATCATAATTGAACTTCTGGAACTAAAGATAAAGAAAAATATTGAGAGAAACAACACATTACATAAAAAGAAACATCAATTCAAATGACAGTGCATTTTACATCAAAACCTTAACTGCCAGGAAGAAATGGCACAGCATTTTTTAACTGCTTAAAAAAACTATTAACTATTTCCTTTGGGAATAAAAGAGAAATGTAAAGATTCTCAAATGAAGGAAAACTAAGAATGCTTGTTGCTAAAGAAATTCTTAAACAGAAAGAAAATGATAAAGGAAGGAATCTTAGAACATCAAGAAGAAAGAAAAACAATAGAAAGCAAAAATAAGAATAAATACAGTAGACTATCCTTGGGAATTTTTTAAATCATATTTGACCATTGAAATAAAAATTACAATTCTATATGATGTGATACTCAATGTACATAGAAGAAATACTTTCAACAATATTGTTTCAAAAGCAGTGATCATAGAGAGATGAGGGCTGCATTTTACTCAAAGTGAGAAAATATTGATGCCAGTATTTGTGATAAGTTACAGGGTATATTGTAACACTCAGAAAAACTGCTAAGAAAACTACACAAAATATGTTTGAAAGCACTAGTAATACGCCAACATGGAATCCCAAAAAATGTCCTGATACATCACTAACAGTTATATCACATGGGACTGGCAGAGTGGGTCAAGTAGTAGAGTACCTGCCTAGCAACCATGAGGCCCTGTTTTTAAACCCCAGTACCATCAGAAAAAAGTAACAAAACATATATCACAGTTAATATATTGTATATTTCAAAATTGCTAAAATAGTTTTCAACATTCTTACCACAAAAAATGATGAATAGGTGAGGTGATAGATATATTAATTAGCTTGATTGAATCTTTCTATATTGTATACATGAATCAAAACACTAAACTGTACCCCAAACATGTACACAACTGTTATATGTCAATTAAAAATTTAAAGTCTTAAAAACCCTCTGAAAATAAAAGAGAAACAGAAAACAAATAGCAGCAAATAATAAAAGAATACACACAAGTTCTAACATGTCAATGATTTCTTTAATATACGTGGTCTAAATATACTAATTAAAAGGTAGAGATTGGCAAGATAGATTTTGAAAAACAATCCAACTATATACTATTCATAAGAAATTCATATATAATGACACATGTAGGCCGGAAGTAAAAGGATGAGAAACATATATGGTCACCCTTGAAAGGCAGTGTGTACTTTTCTCCTGTATCATCTAAAATTTGTTTCAAATTTCAAGACTACTGATGTTATAACTGTACTAAAAGGCATAATAAAGTTATTATTCACATAATGAGTCTTTCTAGAGAGAGCTGGGCATACTTCCCATGAGATCTGAAAATAACATAAAAGCTGTTAATTACAGAGCAAAGAAAATGACGAGAAATAAAGAAATACGTGAATACACACAAAAAAAGAAATAATGATACTATGCATGCACAAAACAACAGAGCATCAAAACTCATAAAGACAAATCCACATTTGTGGTTGGAAACTTAAGTACTCTGCTCTCAACAACTCACAGAACTACTAGAATTAAAATTAATAAGTATATGGAGGACTCAAAAAAATCAACTAGGAACATGTAAGTGACACAGAATATGCTTCCCAACAACAGCAGAGCACAAATTATTTGTATATGCCAATAAAACATAAATGAAGATAGACCCTATCTGAGTCTTAAAAAAAACACTGACAACTTAAGAATAACTGATATCAGACAAAATATATTCCCTGGCCATACTGGAATGAAATTAAATACTTAGAAATGAAATAACACACCTATTAATAATTCACAGATCAGTGAGACTATCTTAAAAGAAATTACAAGTACCTTAAAGTGAATGAAAATGGAAGAACAATATTATAAATTATGTGGAATGCAAGCAAAGCAGTACTGAGAGGTAAATCTGTAGAAATAAAATGCTTATAAAAGAGATAATTTCAAATCAATGATCCTTTTTTCCTCCTTTAATAAGAAATGGAGGAGATAAAAACAAGCAGAAAATAGGGAAAAATAAAGCTCCAATAAGACATTCAGTAGATTTCTGAGCAAAATTAGCACCAAGCTTAATTCAGAAACATACTAAAAAGATTGTACATCATGGCCAATTGGCATTTGTGTCTCATATGCAAGGGTGGCTCAACATAAAAAATAAATCAATTGATGATATACAGCATTTTAACAAAATAAAGGGAGGAAACCCATCTATTACAATTAAAGCAGGAAAAGACTTAACAAAATTAAGCATTCATTTTTGTTTTGTTTTGTCACATTTCTATATCCTAAACAATGAACAACCTGCAGAGAAAATTAAGAAAACATTTTCATTTGCAATAGCATTAAAAAGAAAAAAATACTTAAAATTATCTTAATGAAGGAGGCAAATGACTTCTACATAAAAAGTATGAGGTACTGCTTATAGAAATTAAAGTCTCCAAGAAATAAATTTAAAAAGAGTCTGTGTTCATAAACTGAAAGACTTAATGCTGCTAAAATAACAGTAAAACCCAAATCACCAGACAGAGACAATTGCAACCTCTACCAAAATCCCAACAATTTCACTTAAATAGAAAAATCTGATCATAAAATTTATATGGAATTTCAAGGGACCCTTAAGTGCCAACACTATCAAGAAAAAAATATCAAGTTGGAGGATTTACAGTTTCTGATTTCAGAATCTGCTACTATACTCAACAATAAAGAGAGCATTTTATCGGCATGATGATAGATATGCAGAACAATGGAATAGAAGAGATCCCAGAAATAAACCTTTTACATATGGTCTATTGACTTCTGACAAGAGTGAACAGAAATATTCAATGGAGAAAAGGAAGTCTTCAAGAAATAGTGCTAGGAAACTAGATATACACATGCAAAACAACGAAGCTGGGCCTTTCCCCTAGAACATACAGGAAAACTAACTCAAAATGTATTGCAGCCTTAAATGTAAGAGCTAAAACTATAAAACTCTTAGAAGAAAACATAGAGAGGAAATTTCACAACTTTGCATTTGGCAATGATTTCTTGGATATGACAAAGTACATAAAATGAATAGTGGATAAGTTAGTAGATAAATTGGCCTTTCTCAAAATTAAAAACATTTATCCATCAAAGGACATTATCAAATAATAAAACAAAACCTTGTAGAATGGGAAGAAATACTTGCAAATCATGTATTTGATAAGAAATTTAAATCCTAAATGTATTAAGAATTACAACTGAACAATAACAAGATTTTTATTTTTTGCTCAAGATTTCAAAAATTTTTATTTTACTGTGCTGGGGGGTGCATTGTAGCATTTACAAAAATTCTTACTATATATCAAATATAGCATACTTGATTTCACCCCCTCCATCATTCTCCTTTATCTCTTCTTCTCCCAATTCCTAAATTCAACGGGTCTCATTTTTTCTTATTCATACATGTATGCACTGTATTTGTACTATTTTAACCCTCCTACACCTTTTCCCCAACTTCTTCCTTCTCCCACTGGTACCAACACCCCCAGGCAGGATCTGTTCTTCCCTCATGTTCTCTGATTTTGAAAAAGAAAAAAATGACATTTTTGTTTGTTTAAAATTGCCATACAGGGAGTTTTCTTGTGACATTTCCATGTATATATGTATTATAACCCAAATTGATTTATCACCTCTATTTTTCTTCTTTCTACCTTAGTCTCCTTCTTCTGGTGGTTTAAGCAGGTTTAAAAATTCTATAGTCATTCATGTATAGAGAGTACATCAACCATATTCAACTGAACTTCCTTTCTTTTACCCTCTCTTTCTCATATGTGGCCTCCCCTTAGCATGACCTGTTTTTCATAATATTGCTATATTTGTATTAGGTCTATATTCCACATATGAGAGAAAACATGCAGCTTTTGCCTCCTGAACCTGGCTAACTTCACTTAAGATGATGTTATTTTGTTCCATCCATTTAAGTGCAAACAACTCTCTGTGGCTAAATAAAATTTTGTTGGATATAAATACTGTATTTTCTTAATCCATTCAACACTGAGGTTCATTTGGAAGCACAAAAGACCATGAATAGTGAAGGCAATAGTGAGCAAAAACCACAATGCTGCAGTTATCACAATTTCACAATACCTGACTTCCGACTATTCTACAGACCCAATATCAATAAAAAAACAGTGTGCTACTGGCATAAAAACAGATATGAAGACCAGTGGAATAGAATAGAAGACCCATGTATGAATCCATGTAGCTATGCCCATCTGATCCTATTACCAAGGTGTCAAAATTACACAATGGGGAAAAAGACAGCCTCTTCCTCGAATGTTGCTGGGGAAACTGGATTTCTGCATGCAGAAACTGAACAGTTGCTACCAATCTTAGGAAAACAAGAAATAAGAATTATTTTTAAAGAGTATAGAGTTCAGTTGGAGCTAGATGAAAGTTTTAGACATGGGTGGTGGTAATGGTTTTGCAAAAGTGTCAATGTACAAGTGCCACTGAATTTTATACTTTGAATGATGAGAGAAGCTAATCTTTTTACAAATGGTATATTTTACCGCAAAGGAAGATTTATTGTATTTAAAAATTATCTAAAATAGGAAGTGAGATTTCAGTGAAAATGTTACAATGATCCCCCAAAATGTTCAATATCACCAGCCATTTACAGGATGAAAAATACAGTGATGGAGAGCAGATTAGGGGTGTCAAGAAAGGAGAAAAGTGGGCATATGAAAGATATCTTTGGGGTGATGGGACAGTTCAATGCTTTGATATAAATGATTAAAAAAGACTTTTCATTACTTGTTGAGGGTTACAAGAATCTATACATGAAATGAAAAAAACCTATACACAAAAGACAGAATGAACTGACAATGTCAGATGTTGTCTTCTAGCCAAATGACTTAATTTTCATCTCCTCATTCAATGAACTGTTACAAATTATAAGATGGCTCCATAGAACACCTCATTTAAGAGTTCTCTGAAATTAGCATCTCACCTGTTACTTGTAGTTCCCAGGTGGCCTCCTGCACATGAGTCTGGGACCTGAACCAGCACCCATACAGGCCAGCATCTGAGAGAGTGACTTTCTGCAGCTTCAGGGTGGCATGTCCTCTGTCAAGGGAGTCCTTCACAAGCTCAGTTCTCCTTCGATATTCTGGCATCCTCATGTTTTCCTGGTCTTTCCTATCTCTGTAGAGATGGACCACATCATCGAACTGATTCTTGAAGAACCGCACTTCCATGGCTTCAGCATTTGTCTCAGGAGACAGGAAGCAAGAGAATGTTGCAGTCTCCCCCACCAAGATGTGGATGCGTTCCTCTGGCACAGTCACCTGCCACTGGCCTGTGGGAGGAAACACAGCGGATTGGTGTGTCTTACTCAGATCTGCGATACGTAAGGAGTGGAACACTTAGGAAGATCTTACTAAACCAAGTGACTTGCATCTGTTTATCCCTCACATTTAACACATCCACACAAGTTACTCTTCTGGATCAATACAAACATTCAGAGAGGCGTGTACAGATGCTCCTCAATTTGCTTTAGGGTTATATTGTATTAAACACATGTAAGTTGAAAGTATCATAAATTGAAAATATTTATTGCACCAGAAACAGGATACAAAGATAGGCATTTTGTAGACATTATGGGATGTGAAAACACAAAACAATATCCAACAATACTAGCAACATATCAGTTATTCACCATTCTGACTGCATGGCTGACTGGGAGCTGGGGCTTCCTGTCCCTGCACAAAATCACAAGAGAATATCATAATACACATAACTAGCAAGAAGAAAGACATATATTCAGAATTTAAAGTATGGATTCTACTGAATGTGTATGACTTTTGCATCATCATAAATTTGAACAATTGTAAGTCAAGCCATCATCAGATAGAGGCCATTTTTATTAGTAATAATCCCATGACAAGATGAGAAAACCTATCTCAGAGAAGCTATGTTATTCAGAGGAATGAAAGGCACTTTTCAAATACAGATCCTCTACCCACAGTCTGTCCCCTCTGCTTCACTAAAAACTCACAACACCCTCTTCTCTGTCTTCCTTGCTAAAAATTAAAGATGACCTGTTTCCAATGACCCAGAGGAAGTGTGTGGCCATAAAATTTAGGTTTTAGGGCAATTTGTTTAGGTTTCCTTCATGCTGAAAATGGTTTTTGTAAAATGTTTCATGGATACGACAGAAGGAAATATCTTCTGTGACCATATATTAAATGCTTTTGCTTCCTTATTTTTTAATCTACTTATTCCACTAAAATCTGAAAGGCATGTTATAACGTTGTGGTAAGGAGTTCACTTACTCTTCAATGCAGTCATGCTGAGACATATCCCTTCCATGACATGCATCTTTTCTACTTTGGAATGTTTTTTTGTCTTTCCTTTATGATTTTGATCTTGGATACTGACCAAATACTTTATCGACATGCCATACCTTCATTTTGTTTATATTTTATTGGTACAGCTTGACCTCATTTTTATTTTGAAACTTTCTTCATCCTCTTGTATCAAGTGGGATATGTGTTTACTGTGTGGGTCTCCTGCACAACTCTTGGCTCTAGGAAGTGGAATCTGTCTGTTTTGCTCAGCAGAGCAGTCTGTGTCTAGTACAGGGCCCAGTCACACAGTTTGGGGTCTGCAAAAAAGGGTTACACCTGTGAATGGTGAGCACCAATTTTTCTCACTTGCTCCTCTATTTAATGATCATTTAAATAATTTTCCTGTAATAAAACATTCTTTACATTCTATAATGATTAGATTTTTTTCTTAGGCAGTCCACAAACAGTGGCAGCCTAGTCCTTTCAATTGCTATATACACATTGCCATTAGGAATTTTTTGATACATGGTCTCACTATGTAGCCCAGGCTGACCTCAAACTTAATCTCTGCTCAGACTAGCCTAGAACTCATGATCCTTCTGCCTCAGCCTACCTAATGCTGAGATTACAGGTAGGCACCTCTATGCCCAGTAATATTTCTTGATTAATTCACTTGTTCTCATTTATAAACTATGTACGCATGTGTGAGTATGGTATATCCTTCTGTATCAGAGGTAAAGTTGATTCCATTTGTGGATTTCTAAATAAGCAAATTTCAGTACCAATTATTTCTTACTTGAATATGGTTTATAAATCTTTCTGAAATGAATTTCATTTATGCATCATTGAGGAAAGTATTATCAAACTGCAGTGTGATTTTACTGCATGATCTCTGATCATTTCCAACATGGCATAGTACACGCTGAGGCCCTGTCCCTCTCCTCACTGCTGAGTCCCCTTGCAGTGGGATGAACACTTCCTCTGTTCAACGACAGCCCCATCCCAGGTCCATTGCTGAGCATTTCCACTTGCTCAGTCAATTGCAAAGAATTCTACAAATGCAGACATTGTTAACACACCTGGGACACATCTCAGCCAGTGATGGACACGGCAGTGGAAAATGGATGATTCTGAGCCACCATGTACATGGTTTCTCAGAAGATCCCAGTAGTGCAGCGTCCCAGCTTCCCATACGGTGACCTGTTCATTAGAACACACTCTTTTGGTTTTCTTCTCCTCTGGTTTTACTATACAAACACACCCACATGAGAGCTGACATAGGACCTGGATCTCCAGTCCTGTGGCTCATTCCTCTGTCCCTTTGTGTGTGTGTGTGTGTGTGTGTCATGTGTATATGTGCACACATCACATATATGTATATCTACACACATATATCTCATACATATACAAGTATACATGTGTGTGCATACACGCACAACTAAGGACTATGTTTCTCAAAGACCTGAAAGCCATTCTTTTGACATAATCATCAGGAAGACAGGACATCTATCTTCTGAGGGGGTAGCAGACAGAATCCTAACTGCAATGACTGTCACCTAGAAAACACTGCTGACTAATTGTATTTATGCTGACTAGCCCATCTTAATTTTTTACTTCCCTAATTCGACTGAGCCAACATTCCATACCCCTATACCTTCATCCTTACTTTTAAAAATCCAGTTACATCTGGAAAAATTAGAGTTCTGTTCACATTGGACAACTTTTCTGTTTCATTAGTTCTATCCATCTTTATCTTCAATACTTTCTCTGGGGACCAGCAGGAAAAGACTGTCTGTAGTTGAACAATTAATATGGAGCTCTATGCTACATTACATATGTATGGTCCTCACTATTAGGCCTTTCAGGAATGTGATATTATCTCCATGCCATGATAAGCAAACTGATACTTGAAGAAGTTATGAACCACAAAGCTCATAAACAGATGAAACCAGAATTTTTAAAAAAATAGTTTGTCTTCTGAAGCCATTTCCACGGTTTTCCATTGTCTCCACAAAGAAAGCAAAAAACTCATAATAAAATGGATGAAAATTACCTTAAATGAGAGGTTCTCTTATAAATAATGCAAGAGATTTTTTTGTGTACTGGGGTTTGATCTCAAACTTCATGCTTGCAAAGCAGGCCCTCTACCACTTGAGCCATGCCTCCCAGGCAGTTTTCTCTGGTTGTTTTGAAAATGGGGATCTCCCAAGTAGCTAGAATTACAAGCATAAACCACCAGCACCTGGCAATGCAAGATTTTGATTTAACAACAGGAAGCATGTTTTGAATGCCCTATTACACATTTCCTGAACTTGTTTAGCAAAATAAATATTGGTAGACAAGTAGAAATGGAACCTACCTAAAAGATCAGTTTACAGTTGAACTCTGTTAGAGAGCAGTTTTCCACTAGCTTACAGCTACCTTTGTGAATTTTATTCAACTATTCAACATCCTTAGCATTAGGTTTTTGTTCACGATAACTTGAAGGAGAAAGAAGAATGAATTTTTGTTAGAATATTCCACATTCTAACTTATTTCTCACTTAAAGATCTGTACATCCTCTCCTCTCCCCTCAGAGTTTGAGCTGTTAATCAACAGAAAGAAGAGAGAAAGAAGTCCACCCTGGAAATTTACCTGACACCAGGTTAAGTAGACTGAGAACCAGAAGAGCAAGAGGGTCGTGGGTGTATCTGAAGATCAAGCTCATACTACAGGAACAGATGATAGCAGGGATTCATGGACTGTTCCGTTGGAGAGAAGAGATGATCAGGCCAGCTGTCCTGGGTACAGAAGATATGGAGAGGCTCAACATGAGCTGATGGCAGACCGTACTGTGCTTAGTCTCCCTGTCATTGGCATGGCAGTTTGTGTTAGGAGTGTGGGACTCTGAACTTTGAACCTCTGCATTTATTGGCAGGCCATAACCGTCTATCTCAGACATGGAAAATGAAGATAGAAATTGGGTGGGGCACAGTGGGAGGGGACTTTGTCTTGGGACAAGATTGTCCTGGATCAGTAGTATGAGAATTCCTGATATCAAGGTATTTTAAAGCCCTCTCTTCCAAGCATAATTGTATGGGTGGTGAATATCTAGTCTTGAAAGAGAAGCTGTCCTAGAATAAGGTAATGGAATATCCAGATGAATAACTGCTACTCCACAAGGAGTAATCAAGAACAGCTGAGACTGACAATTCCCGGCACAGGAATCCCTGCTCCTGCCTCCCTTGTGATGAGTTCAGAACTAACACTGTGAAGAGCTTGATACTTCAACGCAGTGCCTTGGTCATCAAGAATCTAAGAAGTTGGAACAATATCTATCACAGCAGTAATTCAGACATGGGGGAAAGAAAGACCAATTTATTCAGTCATTCTTTAGATATAGTAAGCCACAGGGGTTCAGATGGGTATGTGCCAGTGTGACCTGGCATGTTGAAACTGCTTCAAGATTACATCTGGCAAACCTAGTAGCACCAGAAAGAGTCCTAGCAATCCCCTATGTGGGAAGGTTTGCTCACAGGCCATAGCTGAAAGGGGTTGGAGTTGATATTCAGGCTGATTCATAAATATCAAAGAGACAGAGGCTGACAAGTCTCCCTGAGTGCATCTCCCAGGAGTTCTGTGCACCAGCAGGGTAATTCTGAGACTTTGGAGGAAAGAGGCCCTGGCTGAGACAGAGCCAGTACAGTATCTGTTGTGGGATGGAGGCCAGAATAAGTTTCAGTTGGGCACAGATAGGCACATGCCATCAAGACTGATCCCAGTCTATATCCTAGAATGATTAGAGCTGAGCATCAGGGCCCCTTTATGATTTTCTGTGGGATAGTGGCTGGCAAGCCTGTCAGGGGACATAGACAGAGCAAACTCCTGCATTTCTCGCATCGGTAGGATACCTTTCTGCCTACAGCAGAGAGAGGCTGAAGCTGAGACAAGGCTTTTTCAGGATCTTCTGTGGAATGGAGACTGGCATGCCAGTCCTGGTGTGTCTTCTTACAGAGGTAGGATAGTTCCTGGTTGTGGCTAAAAGAGACTGGTGCTAAGACAGCACCAATCTAGATCTGCTGTGGGGGAGAGGCTGTTAAGTCTGTCATGAAGGCTCAAATTAGCAATCACCCAGAAGCTCTCTCCATGGGTGGGATAGCTCTTCTCCTTGTAGAGAGGTACAAAAGCCAAGACAGGGCACTTGAATCTGATGGGGACAGAGACCAGAGAGTCTTTCCTCATGGCACAGACAAATGAATCTCTGAGTTATGTAAGCATATTAAGCCAGGATCACTGCAGATCATTAAAACTGAGTTATAGGGTAACTTTCATGTCACTTGCCAAGACCTATGTCAATGGATAGGAGAGACTGTTTGCTAAGTCATTACTGTGCATTAATCCTCCTGGGACCCCTAGGCAGATGGTTTTGTTAGCAGGTTCATGAACAAATGTGGCTGTAAGAAAGCCTATTGAGAAGCAGTGCCATTTCTGTGTTTGAAATCAGCAGGATGATCTCTAAGTCTGTCTCCAGGTACAAATATACACACTTAAGATGACCAAGATAAGTGTTGGCCTCCATTAGGATCTTACAATTTCCTACTTGAATCTCAAGGCTTCCCAGAGAGATTTTGTCTGCTGATGAACATTGCAGGTGTAGACATAGGACAGGATGCGCTTGCATTATATCAACTTGGGGAATAAATCCAACAATAACTGTAAGCTATTTAGTGAGTTACAAGAGAACACTGACAGACTATTTAGAAACAAGGAAATGATATATGACCAAAATGAAAATATCAACAAATGGAATTAAGGAGGCTAGTGACTGCACAAGGTGCTGTATTGATGGGAAAGGAAAGAAAGTTGGTCAGGAATGGAGGTTGAGAGATATCTGAATAAAGGTGTGACTCAAAGTCTCACAGAGCCCAATAGTGGACTTGCATAGAGGGGCACAGGTATGATTGGGGTGGTTTACAGCAAGAACCACAATCTTAATTAAAGTCAACCACTTTGGAATTTTATTTTATTTTATTTTTTGGATACTATCTATCCCAGTCAAGCCTCAAACTTGTTATCCTCCCGCCTCAGCCTCCTGAGTGTTGGAATTACAGGTGTGTGCTACCATTTTGAGTTCCATAGCCAAAAGCTTTCATGCCACATTTAGAGACCAAAATCATGAGATTTGGTGATAGGATGGATAGGATGCATAGCAAAACATGAACATATCTATTTGCTGAAATAACACTGTTCTCCACCATTTGAACTATTCTTAGAAACATCTAAAAGCTATTTCAATTGAGAAATGGTCCTCTCCCTCTTAGTCAGCCAGGAGGAGAAATAATATGGAAAAATGTACACAGAATGGTTATATGGCCTGGCCTGGACATGACACATATCATCCTCACTCACATGTCATTTAGTGTTATCTCAGTCACATGACCTCACCAACTGCAAGGGAGGATGGGAGTTGTGGTCCAGCAAATGGCAGGAGAATGCAAGATAATAGCAACCAGCCTCTGCTACAGGCAGGAATAGACTGCTGTAGTAGGTAGAATAATGTTCCCTAAAGACATTCACATCTTAAACCCTGCAACCTGTGAAGATGATACCTTACATGAAAAAGAGACCTTGCAGATGTGATTAAGGATATCAATCTTGAAATGTGAAATTATTGGATGATGTAGCCATGCCCAAAATAATCACATGAAACCCTAAAATTAGGCTAAAGAGATTGGATTGAAGAGGGAGGAGAGGTTCAAAGCATGAGAGGCACTCAATCCACCACTGCAGTCTATGAAGATGTGGGAAGGAATGTGGCCAGACGAGAGTGAGGAAAGAGGGATATTTATCTTAAAACAAAAGGAACACGCAAACATGTCCTTCCCAAAAGCTTCTAGAAAGGAATACAGCTTTGCTGGCACCTTGATATTTGACCTATAGAACTAGGTAATTTATTGATGTTGTTTAAACCACTACATTTGTGGTGATTAGAAAACTAATGCATCCCTGCTGGGGTGCCTACAGGGTGATCACATCAGTGGACCAGCAGAGCATGTGTTTGAAGAACTGAAAGGGAGTAAGGACTTCCAAAGAAAGGTGTCAGCAGTGCCCAGGGCTTTGTGAAGGGAAGCAAATAGGTTCTGTATACTCAGCCTTCACTCAGCTTCCTGTTATCCAGCACATCACTAGGCACTCCATGCTCAGAGGAAAGACCCTCAACCTGCCCCTGCCATGGATTAAAACACATCCCAGAGAGTGCGCTTTCAGTGAGGTGACACAGGGGAGACAGTCAAAGCTTCTTTTTTTTTTTTTCTTTTCTCAGCTTCATTCTTGTTCCAATGCTGGTGTTTCCTTAGGAAGCTCCAGAGACTAGGCACAGGAGTTGGGGTCTGGGAGATGGGGTCCAGGTGAGCCAGTATCCTTCTCTCCAACTCAAGAACTAATGGTAGTAAACTGTGTGCCCCAGCACACAACCCTTTCTGTACATAAACCTAAAATTTATGTCAGTACCCCAAAGATGATCTTTGAGTTACTGAGTCCCTTTGTCTGTCTTCACTTGCCACATAGCCACACTTGATTAGATCTCCTTTCTTTGCTGGTCACCATTGCTCATCTTTTTAATTCATGTATTGGGACAGGTGTCTGAGCCTAGTCCTGTTGGGACTCCCAGAGTCAGAAGTTTTCACATTAAAATTTGGGTTTCAACTTTGGCAGGCTACACCAGAAAGAAACAAACCCCAGATAGAAGGAAATATTGAATAGTCTGTGCAGCTTCTGGAATCATCTTTATTCCGGGGACTTTTTCTTATCCTTCCACTTCAGCCAGAATTGACTGCTTTTTTTTACCACTGCTTGGTGAACCAGGGAAACAAGTGTACTTAGAAGACTTTTGGTAGGATTCATGTCATTATAACAGTGCACATGGACTTGTGATTTCTTGTCATTTGAACAAGACATTTGTTTTGACATGAAATTTTATGTTTTGTGTTCATTGTCTTATTCCTCTGTTATTTGAGCTCTTTTGGGCTATTTTGGCATTAGGACATTTGAAACATGAAAAGTTGAAATTCTGGAGGACTAAAAAGTAAAGGAGAGTTGCAAGGCATGGGGACCAGGGTGTTTGGAAAATCTGTTGTAATGTGTGTTACCATGGAAACTACTGAATCCATACTCTCAGGAACCCCTCTCCCCATGGGAAATTTTATTTTAAAAACTTTTTTATTGTTATGCTGTGTGGGGTACATTGTGGCATTTACAAAAGTTTGCGCAATTTATCAAATACATCATACTTGCATTCACCCCCTCCACCATTCTCCTTTTTGCCTCCTCCCCAATTCCTGGAATAATTTCAATAGGTATCATTTTTCCATTTACATACATGTGAACATACTGTTTGCACCATAATCATCCTCCTACACCCTTTCCCCATCTCCTTCCCCCTCCTATTGGTTCCAAATCTCCCAGGCAGGCTCTTTCCAGGAAGAATTTTAGATGACTGGCCTAATTATAGCTATAAACCTATGACTAAGAAAAAGATGATGTATTATTGTAATACAATATGGCCTAAGGATGCACTAGATGGAAAGGAGAAGTGGCCCCTAAATGGGTCATTGTATTTCCATACTATCTTACAGTTGGAATTGTTTTGTCAAAAATCAGGAAAGTGGGATGAAATACCATAGATTCAATCTTTATGATTTTTACATAATCAAAATTATCCTAAGGAAG